TAGTGGTGGCTATTGCTGTTGTCACCACAGTCAAGCCCATGCCCACCCATGACTCCCCACAACCTCATCTAAGGGTTGCTATTCCTGTTGTCACCACAGTCAAGCACGCGCCCTCCCATGACTCCCAACAACCTCATCTAAGGGTTGCTATTCCTGTTGTCACCACAGTCAAGATTGTCCCCACCCATGACTCCCAACAACCTCATCTAAGGGTGGCTATTCCTGTTGTCACCACAGACAAGCCCGCGCCCACCCATGACTCCCAACAACCTCATCTAAGGGTGGCTATTCTGCTCAAATCAGTATTCAATGATAAACAAAAAACTCACCACACATGTGATAGCCTTACGATGACCAACAAAGTCCATATTTGCCTTCCATCCATTTCTCTCAATGATCTGTGCAGTTGGTCCTGCATTGTTCATAGCATGAGCTGATACAATGTGATTACCATCTGGAGACCAGCTGAGCCTCAAAACATGGGTAGTACCTCCACACTATGAAAATACAAAGAAACTACTGAGATCATCCTCCCCTGCAAATGATTCATGCTAGATTATCTGGTCAGTAAATCCAAAAACTGTTACCCATAAGAAAAATAAGTCACTCACAAGAATGCTCCTCATTGGCTGTCCAACCTAAGTCAGTGTTCTCCACGGGTTGAAAATTTAACCTGGCGGGCAAAGCTGGTCGAAAAGACTTAGTCTATAGACTTCAGTATTTGAATTTGGGCGAACGCTTTACATTTAAAAAAAAAATAAAACCCTGTATTTTTGATTATATAAAAAATATATAATTATATAAAAAAAATTACGTAGTCACGTTGCAACATAGTTATTTAGAATGATACAGTACGACATACAAAGTATCATTTTTTGCTTACGTCGTTGGCAAAAACATAAAGTCGTAAGAATTGAACTTCGATTTTTGTACAAATTTGATAATCATTAGTTTCTTAGATATACCAATTCAGTTTGACATAACACCTTTGATTTGTGTTAAGTAAAAGAAGCCTTCCGCACAAACCAAACAGACATGCTATGCTGTGTCAGATGGTAAAGTGACGCTGACATGTCTTATTCTGTCATTTTATGCATGTATTTATCACCAATTCCAAGAGTAAAAGTTTTAACTTTCAAAGTATTACAAGTATTATGACTCGTCCATACATTTATATGTTTATTACACTTAAATAAAAATTAAAATAGCCGAGCCTTCCTGATTCAAGTCTCTTGTTGATTTGACGACGGTAGGTATCATTAATGTTTATTCTTTGTCTGTATTGCTTTTCAGACAAAATGTTCAAGATCGGTAAACAAGAAAAGGACGAACTAAAATGTCTTGTGTGTTTCACGTGTGATATGATTATTAAACAAAAAAAACAGAGTTAAGCGATCATGTACGTTCTATAAATCTAACCTTGCACACATAATCTTGCACTGATGTTTTTTTTTTTTTTTAAAAAACAACCTTGCCTTTCAGTTAACTCTTCGATGGTATTTGTGGGTTAAAACATATTTGCATTATTAGAAAAGCAGCACACTAAGTAAACGATGTTGAAATAGTCAAAGCCAAAACAGAGTTGCATACAAGTTGTGTTATTACAGTACCGCTGGATATACAGCCGGTAATAACAATTTTACTAGATGGATGAACCATGAAAGAAAAAGATTGCTAAGGTAACGCACCAGTTCAGTGAGTGACTTGGGGTCAAACTTCGGTCAACACACACTTGACACTTGTTTCGCAAAGTACTTGAAGTTCAATTGCGCCCAAAAATGATGTCGACAATTACTCAATTGTTGTAGCGCATGTTGTACCAAGTCCCTGATACACCCCGTTCCAACTCCGGCTTGCTTTTCCTTCTTAGTGCATATTCTTGTTCATGTTAAATGCGGCCTCTCACTAATGTATTAAAACACTTTGAATTTATAATTTATACTGCTAAGTCAATCAGTAAGAATGCCCCTCATTGGCTGTCCAACCTGACTGCTAAGTCAATCAGTAAGAATGCCCCTCATTGGCTGTCCAACCTGACTGCTAAGTCAATCAGTAAGAATTTACCTACTTTGGATACAGAATATGATATGTGAATCTTCTTGCAAGGCACTGAAAAAGGTCTATTGAGACACAGTATTTAGAGGAAACTCCTTCAGTCAGTAATTTACCTCATCAAATGGTTTTGTTATTGATGCTTCTTGCTGCCAATCTATTGTTCTCCAGACACGCAGACTTCTATCATCAGACTGGAAAAAAAAATACATGTGACATTTGTGTGAACAGAGATCATAATAATAAGACAGGCATGATATAGATATAGACATAGTTCATCCCTAAAGTCACCATCTAATCCCATGTGTCAAGGATAAGGATAAGGATAAGGGACCTCTCATGGTTGTAATGGTTGAGGAAGGTGGTTTTTATGTAAAATACAGGAGATGACTATCTTACCTGTGATGCCACATACTTGCCGACTGGATCCCAGGTAATGCCTTTGACTAGACCTGTGTGTCCTCTTAATACTGATAAAACCTCTACGGGGAAACAGACATAAAATATGTATAGAAATATGAATGAACCCAAGTTTGACTGTGAATGGGTGAAGTGACATTACAATGAACACATGCATCTGTCATAGATCTCTGAACAAGGGACAATTTCAGTTTTAATGACAAGACATGCCCTTTAAAATTACTTACCTGGAAATTTGTGTGCATTCCATATAACAACAGTGTTGTCAATGCTACACGATGCTAGCCAAGCGTCATGAGGGGACCAAGCTAAATCTAAAATATCTAGAACACAAAGCAGTAAATAGTTATAATACATTACACCATGTTACAACAAGCCATGCATGGTGCAGTCTCTGTTAGTTATCAAATTTAAGATATACATAGTTTTGTTAATAGTAATATATATTTGTAACATAAACATGTCAGAGATATGGATCCAGAAGCTGAGGCTTGATTATGATGATATTTTAACATTGAAATAATTGTCATCTTGTATCTGATCATCAAATGAGTACTTGTCCATGTTGAGAAATATTGCTCTGGAACAGCAATAATTAAAACAAAATGGCCACCAATTGGCCATTTTGAATACATCTGTATATCTATGATATATAATGAATATATCAAATTTGAACATAATCAGTCAAAGCATGTCAGATATGTGGCTCTAGAATCGCATTCATTAAAACAAAATGGCCGCCAGTCATTTTGAATCCGATCTGAAAAATAAAATGGCATGCATCAAGGGCCAATAATGTCTAATGTATGTACCAAGTTTGAACAAAATCCATTCATAAACGACCAAGATCAAGTTCCAGAAAGCCAGTAATGCTTGATTTTTTAGCACAAAAATGGCCACCATTCGTCCACTTTGAATCAAATAGTCAAACTAATACATCTGTATATCTTTTATATGATGTATAAAGAATATATAAAATTTGAACATAATCAGTCAAAGCATGTCGGAGATATGGCACTGCTACTGCACTCATTAACAAAATGGGAGCCAGTCGGCCATTTAAAATCAGAACTGAAAAAATAAAATGATGTGCATCAAGGTTCTATAATGTCAAATGTATGTATAAAGTTTGAACAAAATTCATCTGTAAACAGTCGAGACATGCTTGATTATGATCGCTATTCGGCCATCTTGAATCAGATCGAGAAACAAATTGATGTGCATATGTATTATATTATGTATGATGTATGTATGAATTTTGAGTGTAATCAGTCCAGGCATGTCTAAGATATAGGTCAGGATGCACAAACGGACGGACGCACATAGGTCAATCTATCCAAACTGGGACTAATAAAGGAAGCTTTATCAAGCGCATCATTGCGAAAGACATTATTAAAAACATCACGTGGGCCAAACTCCGCTACAACTCAGACAGGTATAGGCAATTATGACGTCTTCACAGTATTGTGTACTTCCATCATTTTACAAGATTCTTGAGTATTGATAGACCAATACATGCTATCAGCTGATAAATGCATACATGTAGCTATAGCAACCAACTTACCTCCTGAATGCGCCCTAAGAGTGCTCACACATCTCCACTGTTCAATATTAACGGTTTTACCACCAAATGAAGTAGAGGAGCTGCCTGGATACCTGCAACAATTTGTGATATATTGTACACGTAAGGCTAGCAAAATTCAGCCACAAAACACATCTTACAAAATGATGATTATGGCAAACACAGTTTTGGTAACATATAATGTATCCCTAACCAAAACAAATTTGAAATGTGCACTGGTTCTAAGACAAGTGAAATTTGTAATCCACTTGTCCATCACATTTGTAATATATATATGTTCTTACTGGGCAGTTTTATTTATTTCATATTACTGTGTAGTAGTTTTTGATATTCACAGTTTTTTCAAGTCTTTAGTGTATTTAACACATTTTTTGCTGAAAGCCTCTATGGAGAAAAAAAAACATCGACAGGCAATGTGGCAACCTCAAACTTCTCCATAAAGTGATCTTTAGAGGCTTTATGCATTTTTTAATTAATATTGACTTTACACTGACATCATAATTTATCGTCCAAATCTTTTAATTTCTTTTGATTTCATCAGCAGCCAATTCACATTGAGTTCCTGCTATATCAGTATTTGAGATTTTTACAATATATATACAACAACAATGACAGAAGTGATGATTAGCACAACATTTCATCTTTCTAGCAATTCGCAAATGTTTATTGCACCAGGCTTTAAAGCGAGGAGTTGTCACCTGCACATGCGGCAGATGTCAATAGCGTGTCATTATTTACAAACAAGCGTCTACCCATGAGCCTTTGCATTTTTTGCATGTGTTGTTATCGTTGCTTGGGACTCAATTCCCGCTGTAATGGATAACAATGTAAGTGCAGTGATGAGTAAGATGAGTCACATGAAGTTATTGAGTTAACAACTCACCTGCCAATGAACTGCCATATCATTATAAGTTTATCATCGCCACCAGATGCCAGATATTTTCCGTTCATGGACCACCTCACAGAGTTGACACATGCTGTTAAAAAAACATTCAGATCACTATGAAAGACTTCAATGTGATCACATCAGAATTCAGATCACAGTTACAGACAGTCTCAGCAACCCTCACTCATGTAAATGGTAATCTCAGCCTATACCAGGGTGTCTAGACTGGCAAAGTCGCAACTTGTTTTTTTGTTTTACAAAAAGAAAAAAAAATTATTGTTCTTTTATTCCTTTTAGCGTGATCACGAAAACTAACCTGACCGCTAAAGAAATCCCGACTGGATGCATCTGCGGGCATTTGACTGCTGTTAATTATTCATGATGTCATTGATTATTCATGAGTGGGTGTGTGAAAGTAAACGTGACCTTTTAAAGGTTGATTCGATTCGATCGCAGAGATGGATACTTTTTTAACTGCAACGACGATACTTTCATCCATGTTTACTGAAAACAAGTCGATTTAAATGTATATATTAAGGTAGAGATGCAGTTTACCAGACAGGTATTTTAATTAGTTAATTAGGAAACCAAGATGACTTCCCTTGTCCCCAAAACTATATATTTTCAGAAAGCTTATTGTATGAATTTTAAAATTTTTTTATTTTTTTTATTTCATGGACACTGTAGTTTGAAATATGCACAAAAATTTGCTTTTTTGGTCAAAAGCAATTTAAAAAAAAATAGCTTCTAAACCATGCTTCTATTTCCTGTCAAAATTGGTTTATGGGTACATCTGTTTACTATGAAGAAAGTGTCGTCTTGAAAACTGTCTACCAGTTGTCAATTTTGCAGGGCAGCAGCTCAAATTTCACTACTTCAAGTTTATACATAAATTATAACACCCAGGCTAGTTGTCTGTACGATTGTTGTAACACTGTTCAACCAAAAACAATGCCCCGACGACGTTTTGAAGATAAACACATTGTCAATCATTTGTGAAAATTTCAAAAAAAAAGGTCAAAGCGTCTAGGAGCTATTCTTTTTTAAAGTTCTGGGATGTGGACTAAAAAGAAGCTGAGATAATTGCTAATTTGCATAACAATTCACTCAGTAAGAAGTTTGCTAATGCTCATAATTAAAATGGCTGTAACAGTTCCAAATTTAAATGTATTATCGTTTTGTTAAAAGTTAAATATAGTGCATAATATGGAGATCCCGTCATTTTTTTTTTTCACCATGTTTCTTTTTTATTATTTATGTGCAGCCTTGCTAAATCTTGCTAAGCATTCAAAAAAGAGAATGTTTGCACCTGTTATCTATATTTTAAAATTGTCTTTTGAGTACGTTCCACTATTCACAACTCTACAAAATTTTAACAGTCTATAGCCAAGACTGTTTGGATAATAAAAAGCAAAAAAAAAAATTCACTCCCAAGTGCCCACGAACCTGCATCTCCTTAAGTAGTGTTTCAAAATCGCCGGGATATCGTGAAAGGTCACGATAATTACTATGATTAGGGATGACGTATACAGCTGCACTCTGATTCGTTGTCAATGCTAGTCAACATCTTTAATTAGCATAATCACCGGAGTGATTCCGCTCCGGTTTTCACTCCAACGCTGGGGGACGCTTGCAGATGCGTCCAGTCAAGATTTCTTTCGCAGTCACGCTAGTTTTCGTGATCACGTTAAAAAGGTTAAATTGACCATTAATTATATTGTTTTTGTAAAAACAAAAAAGAACTTCCGACTTTGCCAATCTACAGGGTGTCCACCTACGAAACGGACTGGCAACTTTGATTTTGGACTGGCAACTCTTTCCCCATTTTTTCAAAATAATTTTACCAAAATATATCCAAAATCATCCACATTTTCATGAAGTTGAATTGTTTTAAACTGGCAGTTGCAAATTCCTGGCTAATAGCCTGGCCCATACATAAACTGATGCCTTCAGAATCCAAGTTGCCAGTGTACATGTATTATACAGTCGGAATGTTACTTGTCACTCAATATTTCCGACTTGCTATAATATTCATCTGACCAGGTTTAACAAATATGATAGGTTTCAATCATCAAAATCAGTATCAGTATACATACGGTAATGTTAATTCTCATCAGAACAACGTCAACCCATTATAATTAAAATTGATTAGGCAATTACCGGTATACTACATATGTACCAGGGATATTTTAAACAAGGGAACAGGGGTGCAGTGCTCTCATGCCATGGCCATGCACCCCCTTACCCTGGGAAGCAGATCCTCTGGCAACCATAAAATTCTGATTGACCAGGGATCACATGTGGCCACAGTCTTCAACTGTGACCTGTCTGATAGTAATTTTGGCATTAAGGAAGCCATAGAATGCTCCATTTTAACTTAGAATTATCAAAAACTCCACACCCTGGTAGGGAGAACCCTATCTCCCCCACTTGGTGGCGCCGCTAAATTGCAGTGTTCCCTCTGAACTTCTCTGTATGGTCCAAAATGATGATGTAATTTAGTGAAAATTTTCAAAATGTGAAAATATTTGCACTAAATTTTTGACAAAAAAATAAAGGGTTAAAATAATTAATATGTGTGAAAATAATTACCATACTGTATTAATTAATTTGTAGGTAGTTGTACTATTTTTAGGTATTTGATCAACCCATCCATAAGTCTCATGCGCTTTTGATGTAAAATTAAATCAAAGAAAGCTTGGAAAGAACTCCCGTGTGCTGAGAGTATTGAATACACATTAAAAATTAATTCAAAATTATTTGTACTTGAGATATTGATGGAAAAGCTGAAAACTAATTATGTAAATCAGGTAACTAATATGAACAGATTTGAGTGTAAAACTAATCAGGTCTGCGTAATGTAATATCGATGTACCAAGTTTCATTGAAATGTGATTAGAACAAAAAAACTATGAATTATTATTAGAGAATTAATATAAACAAATTTGTTTAACCCAAAATTAATCGGGCATGTCTATTGGTCTACATCATTTATGTACCAAATTTATTCAAATGTGATGACCAGTATCAGTGTTAATTAATGTTGTTAATTAGGTGATTGATAAGCATAAATATTTACCAAAAACTAATTGGGTCTTTGCATAGTCCTAGGTTCATTGAAATGTGATGATGAGTACTCTTTAAAAGTTTCATTAAAATCCAATTAGTGGTTCTTTATACAAAAAAATGTATATCAGTGGAACAATCATGGTAAAAATTACCTAATTATGCAAATTAGGCAATTAATATGCACAATTATTTTCCCTAAAACTAATCAGGTCTCTGCATAGTCCTAGAAGATCTATGTCGTAAGTCTCATTGAAATATGATGATTAGTACTTGAGATATTAGGCGAAAAGCAGAAAATTAACTAATTATGCTAATAAGGTAATTAATATGCACAAATATTTACCCCAAAACTAATCAGGTCTCTGCACAGTCCTTAAGTAACTATGAACAGACTTTCATTGAAATGTGATGATTACTACTTGAAATATCAAAAGCTGAAAATTAATTAATTATGCAAATTAGGTAATTAATATGTACTGATATTACCCTAAAATTTATCAGGTCTGTGTAGTATCCTATGACATCTATGTACCAAGTTTTATTGAAATGTGATGATTAGCACTTGAGATATCAATGGAAAAGCCGAAAATTGATTAATTAATCATTACGCAAATTAGGTAATCAATATATCCGGATTTTTACCTAAAACTAATCAAATCTGCGTATTAGTTCAGAGCATCCATGTGCCAAGTTTCATCAAAATCCAATGAGTGGTTCTTTAGATATCAGTGGAACAGTCATGGAACAGCTAAAAATCAGCCAATTATCATGCAAATTAGGTAATTAATATTCATGGGATTTTTAACAAAACATAATCAAATCTGCGCATTGGCCCAGAGCATCTATGCACCAAGTTTCATCGAAATTTGATTAGTGGATCTTGAGATAACGGTGGAACAAAAAAAGTGGCATACATACATACATTCGGACAGGGTGGCTACAAAGACTCCTATTTGTGCTTCGCACACAGGAGTTAAAAATAACAGATAAAAGTGCATAAACAAAGATGTAGAGGTATAGTTACCAAGGTGATTGTCCATCGAACAAAGTAATTTAGGCACATTCTCATCCTTTTCTACTTTTTCATTTTTCACTGGTGCAATATTCCAGATGGCTACCTTGCCAGAATCATCACCTACAAACAAGAGAAAAAAAATCATGCTTTTTTATTTTGTGATCTGCAACCTTACCTTGCTGCACAAAAGTTTCTTGATTGCAAAATTATTCACAATGCAAATACCACCGGTAGTAAAGTTTTGCATTTACTAAAAAACAATATATGAGCCAACATTTCAATATTTCCAAGAATTCTTAGTTTTTCTGTCTCGCTTTGAAAATTAAATGGCAACTTACTCATTTTATTAAGTTGTTTATTTCAAATGTAATGCATGCATACAAACACTGATTGCTAAACAGAAATTAAAATAGAAAATGTTTCTAGCATGCACACTGTGCATGTTGGTTTTGAGAATTACCTGCACAAAGCTCTAAATATTGTTTATAAACATTATTGAGGAAATTGTTAATTTATTGTCAGACATACCCATTGCAGTGTGCACCCATGTATTTCAAACCCTGTATCCGCCATGTTTTTTCCATGCATGAATTATTACCCCCTCAGTTAGATTGTGCTAGATGAAAAGATTTGAGAACTTTCAAATAACACAAAAGTGATTTATCAATGATGAATATACAATTTTTTAACATTGATTTTCGTGAAAAAATTACATATAAACTGAGACCATTGAAGAAGTATTTAAAAGTTTTTGTGGTGAAAATAGCACATCATCACTCACTTATTATACAATGTACATGTAATAAACTTGTATCTCAATGGGCATGTTTGCAATAGTTGTGCTATATTTTATTAAGCTTAAACAAGCCATTATCACTGGTTGACTATGCCCATACATGTATCTGTGGGAAAATATTGAATTTGTTGTTTTGCCTTTCAAAATCTATATTTACAACATTTTAGAGTTAAAAATCTACAACACGGTGATTATGTAAAAGCTTCAAAATCTTGCCTTTTATTGTGTTTGTAAAACTAGGATGTTTTTCGTCAGGTGACACTGTGCCCAGAAATGTGTGTGAACATAAATTAAGTTGTCTAGAAAGACCATGTTGTTGTAAATAACGAGTAAATTCAGTAGTCATCCCAACTTTCTGGGCTGAGGTTTTAAAATATGTACACAGATCACACATGAACTGTGTGTGTCAAAGTCAAAATCATAACAAAAATGCTCCAATTTATGATTTATTTTAGAAATTGGAATATTAACAATCAATATGACAGATCACTGGTATGACTTATTTCCAATAAACTATCTGTCTATATAGCCTAAGATCTATAATGGCTACCTCTGCATATGCACAGACAAATTTAACTCCGGATTTATGACAGGCACACCCGATATTGTTTACATTTATTGTAAACATATCAGCCCTGTCGACAGATCGTATCTCTGGATATCCTTACACGAATACCAAGAAATAAGAATTACATGTATAAGTTTAGGTGGTGTTACTTCGTGCAGCATTGTCATATCGATCGTAGTTACATTGTTGTTATATAATACACTTACCTTGCCCCCCAGTCACAAACCTAGATCCATCAGGGTGAATATCGATCGAGAATATCGGTTTACCTGGAACGGAAAAAGAATTCTATTTCATAAACCTATAACGGCTATATTTTGGATAAATAACGCATATACAACAGACGAACGATTGAGTAATAGTAGTGATTTCAAAAATAACCACATGTCAACGTGAATAAGGCAAACTAAAAAGTCATAGCGAACGATTTTTGCAATACTTTGTTTTCTAGCAATTTTTTTTTCAAACAGAATGCATACATACCATCATGTGACACCCAAGCGGGCTTCAGAAGACGCATGATGCTTATTGCAGCGCGATAGTGTCGGTAGAATTCTCCCTCAAACACCAATCAATCGGTTTAAAATTTACAGTCCGCCATTTTGAATGTAATGCCGAGCCTCAAAGGTGAACTCCAGGTGGCGCTATGTGCGAGCGGGAAAATAATTAATCGCCGCAACTGGTAGGACGTGGCGAGAATCAAAAATACATGTTTGTTTCCAAGGTAAAATTGTGTTTGAATAACCGTTTGTGTGTTTCAGAACAGATACTGCCAAAATAAGTTAAGAACATACACTCGTACAGTCTGTTGATTTAAAATAGTAATAGTAAACGTCATCATTTTCTTTGTCAGTGTATATATCCTGGTGTATATGCAAGGTTAGACTGGCGCAGTCGGGGCGATTAATTTGTTTTTTGTAGTTTAAATAAAATTAAAAAAAAATCGCGAAATGGAGGTGTTAGCGCGAAATCACCCCGACTGGTTTATTCTGCAGGAAATTCATTGCTATTAAATATTCATGAAT